GAGGAAGGCCCTCAAAATTGTCAAAGACTCCAGCCACCCTAGTCATAGACTGTTCTCTCTGCTACCGCACGGCAAGCGGTACCGGAGTGCCAAGTCTAGGTCCAAAAAACTTCTCAACAGCTTCTACCCCCAAGCCATAAGACTCCTGAACAGCTAAATCATGGCTACCCGGACTATTTGCACTGCCCCCCCCACCCCCACCCCATATTTTTACGCTGCTGCTACTCTGTTAATTATTTATGCATAGTCACTTTAACTCTACCCACATGTACATATTACTTCAACTAGCCGGTGCCCCCGCACATTGACTCTGCACTGGTACCCCCTTGTATATACAGTGGGGGGAAAAAGTATTTAGTCAGCCACCAATCTCACCCCATGGGGTCAAAATGATCACAAGAACGGTGAGCAAAAATCCCAGAACCACACGGGGGGACCTAGTGAATGACCTGCAGAAAGCTGGGACCAAAGTAACAAAGCCTACCATCAGTAACACACTACACCGCCAGGGACTCAAATCCTGCAGTGCAAGACGTGTCCCCCTGCTTAAGCCAGTACATGTCCAGGCCCGTCTGACGTTTGCTAGAGTGCATTTGGATGATCCAGAAGAGGATTGGGAGAATGTCATATGGTCAGATGAAACCAAAATACAGTGGGGAAAAAAAGTATTTAGTCAGCCACCAATTGTGCAAGTTCTCCCACTTAAAAAGATGAGAGAGGCCTGTAATTTTCATCATAGGTACACGTCAACTATGACAGACAAAATGAAGAAAAAAAATCCAGAAAATCACATTGTAGGATTTTTAATGAATTTATTAGCAAATTATGGTGGAAAATAAGTATTTGGTCAATAACAAAAGTTTTTCAATACTTTGTTATATACCCTTTGTTGGCAATGACACAGGTCAAACGTTTTCTGTAAGTCTTCACAAGGTTTTCACACACTGTTGCTGGTATTTTGGCCCATTCCTCCATGCAGATCTCCTCTAGAGCAGTGATGTTTTGGGGCTGTCGCTGGGTATACGGACTTTTAACTCCCTCCAAAGATTTTCTATGGGGTTGAGATCTGGAGACTGGCTAGGCCACTCCAGGACCTTGAAATGCTTCTTACGAAGCCACTCCTTCGTTGCCCGGGCGGTGTGTTTGGGATCATTGTCATGCTGAAAGACCCAGCCACGTTTCATGTTCAATGCCCTTGCTGATGGAAGGAGGTTTTCACTCAAAATCTCACGATACATGGCCCCATTCATTCTTTCCTTTACACGGATCAGTCGTCCTGGTCCCTATGCAGAAAAACAGCCCCAAAGCATGATGTTTCCACCCCCATGCTTCACAGTAGGTATGGTGTTCTTTGAATGCAACTCAGCATTCTTTGTCCTCCAAACACGACGAGTTGAGTTTTTAACAAAAAGTTATATTTTGGTTTCATCTGACCATATGACATTCTCCCAATCCTCTTCTGGATCATCCAAATGCACTCTAGCAAACTTCAGACGGGCCTGGACATGTACTGGCTTAAGCAGGGGGACACGTCTGGCACTGCGTAGTGCGTTACTGATGGTAGGCTTTGTTACTTTGGTCCCAGCTCTCTGCAGGTCATTCACTAGGTCCCCCCGTGTGGTTCTGGGATTTTTGCTCACCGTTCTTGTGATCATTTTGACCCCACGGGGTGAGATCTTGCGTGGAGCCCCAGATCGAGGGAGATTATCAGTGGTCTTGTATGTCTTCCATTTCCTAATAATTGCTCCCACAGTTGATTTCTTCAAACCAAGCTGCTTACCTATTGCAGATTCAATCTTCCCAGCCTGGTGCAGGTCTACAATTTTGTTTCTGGTGTCCTTTGACAGCTCTTTGGTCTTGGCCATAGTGGAGTTTGGAGTGTGACTGTTTGAGGTTGTGGGCAGGTGTCTTTTATACTGATAACAAGTTCAAACAGGTGCCATTAATACAGGTAACGAGTGGAGGACAGAGGAGCCTCTTAAAGAAGAAGTTACAAGTCTGTGAGAGCCAGGAATCTTGCTTGTTTGTAGGTGACCAAATACTTATTTTCCACCATAATTGCAAATAAATTCATTAAAAATCCTACAATGTAGTTTTCCAGAATTTTCTTTCTCAATTTGTCTGTCATAGTTGACGTGTACCTATGATGAAAATGACAGGCCTCTCATCTTTTTAAGTGGGAGAACTTGCACAATTGGTGGCTGACTAAATACTTTTTTTCCCCACTGTATAACTTTTTGGTAAAAACTCAACTTGTCGTGTTTGGAGGACAAAGAATGCTGAGTTGCATCCAAAGAACACCATACCTACTGTGAAGCATGGGGGTGGAAACATCATGCTTTGGGGCTGTTTTTCTGCAAAGGGACCAGGACGACTGATCCGTGTAAAGGAAAGAATGAATGGGGCCATGTATCGTGAGATTTTGAGTGAAAACCTCCTTCCATCAGCAAGGGCATTGAAGATGAAACGTGGCTGGGTCTTTCAGCATGACAATGATCCCAAACACACCGCCCGGGCAACGAAGGAGTGGCTTCGTAAGAAGCATTTCAAGGTCCTGGAGTGGCCTAGCCAGTCTCCAGATCTCAACCCCATAGAAAATCTTTGGAGGGAGTTGAAAGTCTGTGTTGCCCAGCGACAGCCCCAAAACATCACTGCTCTAGAGGAGATCTGCATGGAGGAATGGGCCAAAATACCAGCAACAGTGTGTGAAAACCTTGTGAAGACTTACAGAAAACGATTGACCTGTGTCATTGCCAACAAAGGGTATATAACAACGTATTGAGAAACTTTTGTTATTGACCAAATACTTATTTTCCACCATAATTTGCAAATAAATTCATTAAAAATCCTACAATGTGATTTTCTGGATTATTTTTTCTCATTTTGTCTGTCATAGTTGACGTGTACCTATGATGAAAATTACAGGCCTCTCATCTTTTTAAGTGGGAGAACTTGCACAATTGGTGGCTGACTAAATACTTTTTTTCCCCACTGTATAGCCTCCTTACTGTTATTTTATTTTACTTCTGCTCTTTTTTTCTCAACACTTTTTTGTTGTTGTTTTATTTTACTTTTTTATAAATAAAAAAAATGCACTGTTGGTTAAGGGCTGTAAGTAAGCATTTCACTGTAATGTCTGCACCTGTTGTATTCAGCGCATGTGGCCAATAAAATGTGATTTGATAGGGACTTCAGATGTGGCCAGGGCAATAAATTGCAATGTCCGTACTGTGAAACGCCTTAGACAGCGCTACAGGGAGACAGGACGGACAGCTGATCGTCCTCGCAGTGGCAGACCACGTGTAACAACACCTGCACAGGATCGGTACATCCGAACATCACACCTGCGGGACAGGTGCAGGATGGCAACAACTGCCCGAGTTACACCAGGAACGCACAATCCCTCCATCAGTGCTCAGACTGTCCGCAATAGGCTGAGAGAGGCTGGACTGAGGGCTTGTAGGCCTGTTGTAAGGCAGGTCCTCACCAGACATCGCCGGCAACAACGTCGCCTATGGGCACAAACCCACTGTCGCTGGACCAGACAGGACTGTCAAAAAGTGCTCTTCACTGACGAGTCGTGGTTTTGTCTCACCAGGGGTGATGGTCGGATTCGCGTTTATCGTCGAAGGAATGAGCGTTACACCGAGGCCTGTGCGGGATCGATTTGGAGGTGGAGGGTCCGTCATGGTCTGGGGCGTTGTGTCACAGTATCATCGGACTGAGCTTGTTGTCATTGCAGGCAATCTCAACGCTGTGCGTTACAGGGAAGACATCCTCCTCCCTCATGTGGTACCCTTCCTGCAGGCTCATCCTGACATGACCCTCCAGCATGACAATGCCACCAGCCATACTGCTCGTTCTGTGCATGATTTCCTGCAAGACAGGAATGTTAGTGTTCTGCCATGGCCAGCGAAGAGCCCGGATCTCAATCCCATTGAGCACGTCTGGGACCTGTTGGATCAGAGGGTGAGGGCTAGGGCCATTCCCCCCAGAAATGTCTGGGAACTTGCAGGTGCCTTGGTGGAAGAGTGGGGTAACATCTCACAGCAAGAACTGGCAAATCTGGTGCAGTCCATGAGGAGGAGATGCACTGCAGTACTTAATGCAGCTGGTGGCCACACCAGATACTGACTGTTACTTTTGATTTTGACCCCCCCTTTGTTCAGGGACACATTATTCAATTTCTGTTAGTCACATGTCTGTGGAACTTGTTCAGTTTATGTCTCAGTTGTTGAATCTTGTTATGTTCATACAAATATTTACACGTTAAGTTTGCTGAAAATAAACGCAGTTGACAGTGAGAGGACGTTTCTTTTTTTGCTGTGTTTATAAGGAATTTTAACAATGAGGATACTTTTTTTGGGATAGATTCAGTTACAGTATTCAAATTAAGATCAATCTGCTGGATTGACAGCTCCTTTAAGAACAAACATCTCACATTTGGAAAGATTTAATACCAAACCTGAGATTTTGGAGAACTGCTTCACAATATCCAATGCCAATCTAGCTTGTGACACATTTTTCAAAAAAAGTGAGGTGTCATCCGCCAGTTGGGAACAGCCTTCAAATTGACTGATAAACTAATGAGCATAAGGTTTGAGATACTAACAAAAAAAAAAAAAAAGTGAGATTGGACAAACTTGTCGTATTCCTTTGTAAATGTTAAACCTTGAGGATGTTCCATGACATAGTTTGATACAGCCATTGCCACAATTATACAGAGTTCTAATAGCATCAACAACAAAATTACCAAACTTCCAATGCTTAAGACAATCAAAGATAAAACTGTGACTTACGGTATCAAATGCTTTCTGAAAATCCAAAAATAAGATAACAGGGAGGTCATCCGATAGATCACAATAATCAACCAATTTAACCATTGTACACGTCAACTTCAATGTGATAGGGTCCTCCCAAGGATCCCTGATAGACCATTTCGCGAACGGCGGTGGAAACTTTCTTTCCCAGCATGCACCTTGACCCAACCCCCGGAAATAGTTTAATGTTTTGCAAGTAATTTAACCAGCTAGCTAGCAAAAGCTATCAGTAGATAGCTAATCAATTTGACGAAACGAACAAAAGCATTCAGGTAATGTCGTCTTGTTTATTGCTAGCTACTTTTCCTATGACCAACTATCATTTACAGCTGACTTGTTATACAAAGTTCAAGTTTGATTAAATCGACTAACTTACTAGCTAGCGCTGAACAGAAGCAACATTGGCGAGTTAATAGCTACCACAATTGCTAGCTGGATATTTAGTTCAAATCTACACCTATAATTGGTGAGTGAAAATAAAAACGGAGGTGTATGAGGTTGCTTGTGTTACTCGTATAATTAGGTAGTGAGTATAGTTAGCTAACTAGCTACGTTGTCTTAGTTAACAATATCAAATTAGTGTTTGCAGCTGTGTCAACTTGGCCACAAAATCATCTCTGACCACACAGAACAGTGCAGGGCTCTCAACCCTTTTCCTGGAGAGCTACCCTCCTATAGATTTGTAATCCAACCCTAGTTTTAACTAACCTGATTCAGTTGATCAACCAGCTAATTATTATCAGGTGCGCTAGATTAGGATTGGAGCGAAAACCTACGGTAACTCTCCAAGAACAGGGTTGGAGAGCCTTGCATCAGTGTGGATAGAGGAATGGAGCCAAATAACCTTGACTTAGGTAACGTTAGCTAGCTAGACAAAGCAGCCTTCCAGTTTCACAGATTGGTCAGTGACAACTAACTAGTCTGAATATCTACGTATCTGTAACGTTTCTGTAGATTTTCGCTGGTATAATTGTATAAATGAAGAGTTTATTTCTGAAAACGCTGTTATATCCACCAATTTTCAAAAAATGTTTTCACCCAAATGGTTGCTTATGGGTACCTTCGTGTGTGTGTGTAAAATATGAATGTTTTCACATTTTTTATTCATAGATTTTAGATGTGTATTAAAATGTTTTTTTTTTGCGAAACACTATCCATTGTTTAGGTGGGAGGGAATGTTCGTATACTGTATTTGACTGTGATATGTGGTTGTCTCGGCTAGCTATTTTAAGATCAAAGTGGCTCTGGATAAGAGCATCTACTAAATGACCACGTTTACAAACATACAAATATCCCGTTTATTCGGGATATTCAAGTATTATGTTTTTGAGTTGACGCATATAATAAACGTCATATCACGTTTACAAAGCTTGTATCCCGGTTATGAAAACCCAGATAAGATGCCTGGGATATGTTGCTCTTAGACTGTATACTGTGGCACGTAAACGTCTTGTTTTTCGCGGTCTGCGCAGGCTCAGTTTCGCATATAATGGGTGTTGTGTGATGACGTTTATTTGATTGTCAAACAAGTCACTTCAAAAAGTAGGCTACCTGCTCAGTTCGATCCACCATAATACTTTATTTAGGTTGTTAAACCGTATTCGCTTTTTCTCAAGAGATAAATAAATAATATTTCTACACCTGTACTGAGACAAAATTAACATTTGGTATATCGTTTTACTACAAGAAATACATAATTCTGCAGGAGTTAATATTATATTACGCTACATGTGAGAGGTTATAGGCCTACAGTTGGTGTCCAGATTTCAGTTACTATTCAATTTAACCCATATTAACTTAAATTAGGAACATTCTGTTTGTTCATGGTTACAAGGATAACTGTAAACAGGATATCAGAGGTGCATGTGAACAGCTTATCCTGAATAGGACTAAGCAGGATATGAGCTACTACCTGGAATACTGTGTGCGTGTAAACGTGGTCAATGACTAATGGCAAATGTAAATGTTTTACATACAGATCTCAAATAAAGGTGAAATAAAATAACATAAATATATTAATTAACTTTTTATAGATATATGTCATAAATGTATCATTTGTACAGTTCTTTATAAAAATGTATACTGCACAAAAATATAAACTCAACCATTTTGACAATTTTACTGAGTTAGTTTATATAAGGAAATCATCAATTGAAATAAATAAATTAGGCCCTAATCTATGGATTTCACATGACTGGGCAGGGGGGCAGCCATGGGAGGGCATATGCCCACCCACTGGGGAGCCAGGCCCAGCCAATCAGAATGAGTTTTCCCCCACAAAAGGGCTTTATTACAGACACAAATACTCCTCAGTTTCATCAGCTGTCCGGGTGGCTGGTCTCAGATGATCCCGCAGGTGAAGAACCCAGATGTGGAGGTCCTGGGCTGGCTTGGTTACACGTGGTCTGCGGTTTTGAGGCCGGTTGGACGTACTGCCAAATTCTCTAAAACAACGTTGGAGGCAGCTTATGGTAGAGAAATGAACATTCAATTCTCTGGCAACAGCTCTGGTGGACATTCCTGCAGTCAGCATGCCAATTGCACACTCCCTCAACTTGAGGCATCTGTGGCATTCTGTTGTGAAAAAACTGCACATTTTGGTAGCCTTTTATTGTCCCCAGCACAAGGCGCAGCTGTATAATGATCATGCTGTTTAATCAGCTTCTTGATATGCCACACGTCAAGTGGATGGATTATCTTGGCAAAGGAGAAATGCTCACTAACAGGGATGTAAACAAATTTGTGCACAAAATATGAGAGAAAGCATTTTGTGCATATGGACAATTTCTGGGTTATTTTATTTCAGCTCATGAAACATGGGACCAACACTTTACATGTTGCACGTTTATTTTTGTTCAATATAGCTTTTTGTTAAATTTGACTGTGTAAAACCTAGCAGTACTACTTATTTCTCTGCGAGTGAGGCGGATATATAGGGTTTTGTTAAAAAAAACATGATTTGTCTCTGAAATGAAACCATCAAGTGATAGATTTAAAACATACATGTCTGTCATTGAACATGCCATGATTAGATATGAAAGACAATGGTGTGTTTTTTCACTAAGTTAAAAAAAAAAAAACAATAAGCTAATTTACCAACATTCCTGAAAATGGATATAGCGTTTTGGAATGAAACTTTTCAAATACTAAATCTGAGTTTGACTATTTAGGCATATCTTAGCCAAATGGATCCTCCTCATCAATCCAAGGGAGGCAACAGACCTCGGGATGGCAAACGTGGACCAAGCCAGTCCACTATCCCTCATCAGAAAGATGCCTACGCCAGACTCCTCAGCCAGCATCACAGCAGCAAGTTCAGATCCTACCTGGACCAGTATGTCCAACAACAGGGGGAAGAGAGGGGGCCAAGCGAACAGAGGCAGGGATTAGCACACAGCGAAAAACAAGACATACCGCAGAGAAAAAGGGACCAGGCATTTATCGAGTGCTCTGACTCGAGTGACTTCTCGCCTTCGCCTATGAAAGGTAAGGGAGGAGAAGAGAGCTCTCTGTCCTTGTACATGGACAAACTGAACAGTCGGGGAGCTCTGCAGGAGCCGGAGAGGAGGCAGGGGGTTTCCGACAAGCAGCAACGCAGGGAGAGGAGGGACACCAACACCAGTCAGGATGGAGATGTGGAGTCCGGTGAGGAGTTTGCCTTCCTCAAACAGAGGGACTCCCAGCAGCAACAACAGATAAGAAACAAAGACCATGCTTACAAAGTGCCCACAGGTAACCAAGCGAACAAGGACATGAGTTACGGGGCATCGCCCCCGAAAGCCTTCTCAACTGGCCCAGCTCAGGCGCAAGAGAAGAAGAAGTCCAAGAAGAAGAATGTGCCAAAGACCAACGCAGATAACAAGAGAGACGTGCCCCTGCATCCTGACTTCGATGCAGACATGTCTAAGTCCCCCCTTAACAAATCCAAAAACATGCAACCACAAGGTAAAAAATGATATTGACTAAGTGAATGTACTTATTGAATTACCTTGACCTCAAAGTTGTCATATACGATGAAGCTTTTGCGAACAGTTGTATTTGCTGTTGAAGATGTAGGTGTTGGATTGAAATCGGACTTCTATTTTCATCCTCAGGTGCCACTACGCCTTCTGACAAGGGTAAGAAGACTAGAGGAAGCCAAGGAGGATCAAAGAAGCAAGTGTTTGAAGCATACATGACCGCAGAGGACGTTTCCCACGGCCTAAAGAGAGGAGAGCTCATTCAGGTGAAACTAGACGTTCTAGACCTTCATAAAAAAATATGATTAGTGTGAATTATTGTATCAAACCATTAAAACCAAGTAACCACACTAATTATATGGTTACTTGTTTACCAAAGATCAGAAAATGCTGACCAAGGGCTTTATCTGTCAAAGATTATCTAACACGATGGCGTGACAAGTTAAGCATAGTAATAGAAACATTTCCATATTCTTCTTTTCAGGGATCCATAAGAATCAACCCCAAAAAGTACCACGAGGCTTTCATTGCAGCACCGGTGAGTGTGTGTTAATAGAAATATACAGTAGCTTATATGTGTTGGCAGTAATATTTGTCTAATGGCACTGTGCATCTCTGCAGGATGGCAAGCGGGATATCTTCCTGGATGGAACCGCAGCCCGAAACAGGGCCCTGAATGGGGATGTGGTAGTGGTGCAGGTTCTCCCTCAGGAGCAGTGGAAGGTGAGCTCTATGGAGGAAGATGCAGCCTCAGCATAAATACACTGTGTACACAACATTAAGAACACCTTCCTAATACTGAGTTGCATCCCCCCTTTGCCCTCAGAGCAGCCTCAATTCGTTGGGGCATGGACTCTACAAGGTGTCTGAAGCGTTCCACAGGGATGCTGGCCCATGTCGACTCCAATGCTTCCCACAGTTGTCAGTTTGGCTGGATGTCCTTTGGGTGGTGGACCGTTGTTGATACATACGGGAAACTGTTGAGCGTGAAAAACCCAGCAGCGTTGCAGTTCTTGACACACACCGGTGCGCCTGGCACCTACTACCATACCCCGTTCAAAGGCATTTAAATATTTTGTCGTTCCCATTCACCATTATGAATGGCACACATAGACAATCCATGTCTCAATTGTCTCTAGGCTTAAAAGTCCTTTAATCTGTCTCCTCTTCTTCATCTACGTTGGTTGAAGTGGATTTAACAAGTCACATCAATAAGGGATGATAGCTTTCACCTGGTCCGTATATGTCATGGAAAGAGCAGGTGTTTTGTATATCATATACACTGCTATGTTTCCCCTACATTCAAGAACATTCAAGTAGCTTTAGGTGGGTTACGGCCAACTGTCAATGGTTATTATGACCAATGATGTCTGGTTATGGCACTTACGTTTGTGAACCACTCATTTATATCCACTGAAGCAATAACTTGTCGTGCTCTTCATAATATACACCATTTACCCGCTGTTAGGTTCTAATTTCTGGTACAATAATCCAGATGGACTCTGAGAAACTCACACTGGATGTTGCACTGGCAAAAAACACATCACACAAGCATATATATATATATATATATATATATATATATATACTACCGGTCAAAAGTTTTAGAACACCTACTCATTCAAGGGTTTTTCTTTATTTTAGCTATTTTCTACATTGTGGAATAATAGTGAAAACATCAAAACTATGAAATAACACATATGGAATCATGTAGTAACCAAAAATGTGTTAAACAAATCAAAATATATTTGAGCTTCTTCAAATAGCCACCCTTTGCCTTGATGACAGCTTTGCACACTCTTGGCATTCTCTCAACCAGCTTCACCTGGAATGCTTTTCCAACAGTTTTGAAGGAGTTCTCACTTGAAGGAGTTTCCTTCACTCTGCGGTCCGACTCATCCAAAACCATCTCTATTTTGTTTGGAGATTGTGGAGGCCAGGTCATCTGATTCAGCACTCCATCACTCTCCTTCTTGGTAAAATAGCCCTTACACAGCCTGGAGGTGTGTTGGGCCATTGTCCTGTTGAAAAACAAATGATAGTCCCACTAATCCCAAACCAGATGGGATGGCGTATCGCTGCAGAATGCTGTGGTAGCCATGCTGGTTAAGTGTGCCTTGAATTCTAAATAAATCACACAGTGTCACCAGCAAAGCACACCCACACCGTAACACCTCCTCCTCCATGCTTTACAGTGGGAAATACACATGCAGAGATCATCCTTTCACCCACAACGCGTCTCACAAAGACACAGCGGTTGGAACCAAATATCTCCAATTTGGACTCCAGACCAAAGGACACATTTCCACTGGTCAAATGTCCATTGCTTGTGTTTCTTTGCCCAAGCAGGTCTCTTCTTATTATTGGTGTCCTTTTAGTAGTGGTTTCTTTGCAGCAATTCGACCATGAAGGCCTGATTCACACAGTCTCCTCTGAACAGTTGATGTTGAGATGTGTCTGTTACTTGAACTCTGTGAAGCATTTATTTGGGCTGCAATTTCTGAGGCTGGTAACTCTAATGAACTTATCCTCTGCAGCAGAGGTAACTCCTGGTATTCCAGCTTATTTGAGCTGTTCTTGCCATAATATGGACTTTACCAAATAGGGCTATCTTCTGTATACCCCCCCTACCTTGTCACAACACAACTGATTGGCTCAAACGCATTAAGAAGGAAAGAAATTCCACAAATTAACTTTTAAGAATGCACACCTGTTCATTGAAATGCATTCCAGGTGACTACCTCATGAAGCTGGTTGAGAGAATGCCAAGAGTGTGCAAAGCTGTCATCAAGGCAAAGGGTGGCTGTTTGAAGAATCTCAAATATAAAATATATTTGGATTTGTTTAACACTTTTGTGGTTACTACATGATTCCATATGTGTTATTTCATAGTTTTGATGTCTTCACTATTATTCTACAATGCAGAAAATAGTAAAAAATAAAGAAAAATTCTTGAATGAGTAGGTGTTCTAAAACTTTTGACCGGTAGTGTATTTATATCTTCTGACTACGCCCCTCTTCCAGGCCCCCTTTGTACTTTCCTTCTGCCCAAATACAATGCACGTAGATTATTCCATCTAACCCGTATCCCGATTTACTACTGCTAGGTTAATTATATAGTTACAAACAGACTAAAACTGGCTCAAGTCAGATCGTCTCCAACACTGCTGGTGCACAGTAGCTATCCTAAAATCAGAACTAAGTGGTTGTGTATGTACAGGTTGTGAAGTCAGACAGCGAAGGCGTGAGCGAACCAGATACCCAGTCTGGGAAGAGCCAGACACCAGGGAAGAAGACCAAACGCCCCCCCAGTCCTGATGTCATTGTGGAAGCCGAGGCCGAAGCTGAGGAACAACTGGCCAAGAGGGTGGAGAACATCAGCCTCAGCGCCACAGGTACAGGGTTTCCCCCTCAACAGGTTTAATGAAACCACACAGCTTTATGGCAAAAGTTCTCAAACTTTGTAGAGCATATCCATTTGACAAAAATAGGAAATCTACACAGATTGATAACATTTATATTTTGGGTTTCCAGCATTTAAAATTTTTTTCCCCAAATTAATTTTCCTGTTCTCCCTCTACAGAAGATGGAATTAAAAAAGAGATACTCCAAAGGACTGCTAAGGTAAGCAGTTTATTTTAAAAATGGATCATTATGGCTGCTGTGCGATTGCATGAGGAAAGACATACTTCTAGTCACAAACATTGAAAAAGAAAACCTACTGATTTCCAACAAACATCTCGCTCTATAGAAATAATTGCCTTGAGACCTATCCTTCTGTCAAACGCTTCTCGGTTTTGTTTTTTTCAACAGTCAAAATCGGTGTCCTTGTGTCCTCTTCATCTGCACCTTCTTTCTCCTAGGTGGTGTACGTAGTTGAGCAGAAGCACTCGCGGGCTGCCACAGGCTTCCTCAAGTTCCTCCCGGACAAGCCCTTTGCCATGTTCTCTCCTGTCGACCACCGTGTGCCGCGGGTAAACGTTCCCCTGTCTGATTGCCCCCACGACTTTTGTTCCCGCCCGGGAGACTACGCCAAGATCCTGTTCATCGTCCGCATCACCAGCTGGCCAGACGACAGCAACTTTGCCGAGGGGTATGTAATGAGTCACTGCCTCACTGTAGGGAATTTTCAGTATCCCTACCCTGTAGCATTGTGTCTCGTTCATTATACTTCCCCTCACTCATAAGTGTTTGATTTCATGACTTGTAAGAATTCTAATACAAATAATTATAGAGGCTTACGCTGTGGCCAGTTTATTAGGTACACCTATCTAGTACCGGGTCGGACCCCCCTTTGCCTCCAGACCAGCCTGAATTCTTCAGGCATGGAAACGTTGCTCAGTTGGTATCAAGGGACCTAACGAATGCCAGAAAAACATTCCCCACACCATTACACCACCGCCACCAGCCTGTACCGTTGACACCAGGCAGGATGGGGCCATGGACTCATGCTGCTTAGGCCAAATCTTGGTTCTGCCAGCAGCAATGGTGCAACACTAATACAAATGATATTTTTTAACAAATGCCCTTTCTCCAGTGTTGGATAGCGCTCGCTATGAGTCATTCATGATTTGAAATGCAATCAAGCATTTGTGTTTTTAAAATGAAATAACAAAGGGAGCCTTGAATAATTGGCCTAAACTATAAATAAACCGTTCCATGTCGGCAATTGCAGTCACGATTGCATTCGACTGTTTTTAGTCTTTGCTGTAATAAAGGCTTTACAAAAAAGGTACGCTTATAATGTATTTAGTGGTTACACTGTTCCAAAAGGAAGAATTATATTGTATTCTCACAACGCCTGTTTGTCCATTATGCATGCAGCTCTTGCTCCTTAACTTATTTTTCTTGATCTCCAGTAGTTTCCACAACTAGTCAACAACTAGTCAAATTTCTTCCCCACGTCTGACTTCCCCTGAGCAACCATTTTGCTGTCACGTGTTCAGAGTTTATAACCAATTTATTGATTATGATAGGCTATATGTCAGACACCAGTGGTCACGTGCATGCGATGCTGACATGTAATGTAACGAGAGCAAGGGTTGAGAGAGCGGGGAATGTTTTTCCTTAACAAATGAAGGATTTCGGTAAAATAACTTTTCTGTCTGAAATGGCTAATTATGTTGCAGCTTCAGCAACACGGACAGCGCGATAAACACTGTTCTGTGGTGGTCGCTGCAGCAAGGAGGAGAGCGAGACAACGGGTGCTCGCCTCTGCTGGCTAGTCACACAGGCACTCGCTGTCATTTTTTGAAGAACACCGCAGCAAGTCTGAGCCCGGCCCAATGAAATCAATTGCGGTTGGACTCCCTCTAGAGTAATTCGTGTGTCCTAATTATTTCATCCAACAGTGCGCTTAAAGTTTTTTGAGATACTGGAACCGGCGCGCCTGGCACCGACGATCCTACCACGCTCAGTCTCTTAGGTCACTCGTTTCGCCCATTCTAACTTTCAATCGAACAGTAACTGAATGCCTCTGCCTGCGTGGTGGTGTACCTGGCCACTGAGCGTTGTCAGTGCTTGTCTGTGAATTCAAGTAGGCTTCTAGAGGATCAGATCTACGAAGCTCAGTTTTTGTGTGCAAAAAGCAAAGTGTAAATCTCCGGTGAGCAAAGTGCAAATCTTGTGTGTGCAAAGAAATTGCAAATTAAAAAGTTGTCATATATGTAATACACGTCATAATAAAGCTACATTGAAGCACACATCTTGCCCATATGTATTGGATGCTGACAGTCCTCCTTATGTCTTCCCCCTCAGTCGACTTGCTAAGACTCTGGGCCAGGCTGGGGAGATTGAACCGGAGACCGAGGGCATCTTGATAGAGTACGACGTGGACTTCTCTGAGTTCTCTGACGAGGTGCTGGGCTGCCTGCCCCGGAAGCTGCCCTGGACCATCCCCCCCGAGGAGCTCGGCAACAGGAGAGACCTGCGGTGAGTAGAGGACGTTCACAAATACGGCATCCATATCAGGAAATTGTCTGTTCTCAGACAAAACTCCCTCAGTTGTCATGGATGCCGTACACAAAGGCTCTCGTATGCCCAATTACGATGGAGCCACTCAATGTACATATGTATTGCGCCATTGTCTTTGCCTTTTATAAGTACTAATTTGACACAACTGAACAGGTGAAGACAACACTCAAATGCAGAGTTATTGTTTTCTATTCAGGAATGAATGCATATTCACAATTGACCCAGCTACCGCCAGAGACCTGGACGATGCCTTGTCTTGCAAACCACTGCCTGACGGTAAGCCATTTTGTGGTCCTTTGGAAATAAAGGATAGGGGAGGCAATTTTGTTTTGAATTTATTCATGTTTTTATTTACTTGTGGAAATCAATGACAATGTTCTCCTGTAATGGTCTCTTTCTCAGGCAACTTTGAGCTGGGTGTTCACATTGCTGATGTGAGTTATTTTGTGGAAGAAGGCAATGCACTGGACTTCATCGCCAGTCGGAGAGCCACCAGTGTCTACATGGTTCAAAAGGTCTTCATTTGTTATTACTGATAAAGTAATGTATTAGTCAATTGATAATGAATTAATGTATTATTGGATCAAGTAAGTTCTGACTATTAGTTACATTACTAGCTGAGCATACAGTACGTTAACTGTGGATGTTGTCCTGTGCCATTCCCAGGTGATCCCGATGTTGCCCCGTCTGCTGTGTGAGGAGCTGTGCAGTCTAAACCCCCTGACCGACAGACTCACCTTCTCTGTCATCTGGAAGATCACCCCTGAGGGCAAGGTACAACCCCTTCATACTAAGTAGGCTGGTGTGGCCATAGAAACAGAACGCTGTGGCACTGTTTCCATCAGATGGATGCATTGTATAAAATAATATGAAAATTCTATTGCATGTATATGCAGATGTGTGCCACATAATCCCCACACTCCATCTCTACCCCTCTAGATCCTGAGTGAGTGGTTTGGTCGCTCGGTGATCCGCTCGTGCGTCAAGCTGAGCTACGACCACGCCCAGAGCATGATCGAGGCCCCCGACAAGCTGTTCCAGACAGACGAGCTGCCCCCCTGTGCCCCAGAGCACCCCGTGGACGAGATCCACCAGGCCGTGCTCAACCTGCACTCCATCGCCAAGCGTCTCCGTGCACAGCGCTTCCAGGGCGGCGCCCTCCGACTTGACCAGGTCAGAAGTCACTGCATAGTTTAGGACAGCTGTGTCATGCTATTTGGAGGAAATGCCATTTGTGCTGTAGTCACAAGGTCTCAGAATAGGAGTGCTGAATTTGGATCAGTTTAGCCTTTTAGATCACAGTGAATGAACAGAGGGGACCTGATCCTAGATCTGCACTGCTACCCTGAGACACTTTTTGAATACGGGTCCTAAAGATTTAGAATACATTTACGTTAAGTGTATTTTTGTTACCATGTGGAGTGAGTAGTGAGGATTGTAGTGAAAGGACTGTGAGAAATCTCAGAATGATGACTGTGATCTCCCCTGTCTTGTTTTGCAGTTGAAGCTGTCTTTCACTCTAGACAGAGAGACCAGCATGCCCCAAGGCTGCTATGTCTACCAGTACAGGGACAGCAACAAGTAAGTCAACCCCACACAATACACATACACTGAGTATACAAAACATGACAGACTGACCAGGTGAATCCAGGTGAAAGCTATGATCCCTTATTGATGTCACTTGTTAAATCCATTTAAATCAGTGTAAATGAAGGGGAGGAGACAGGGTAAAGAATGATTTTTAAGCCTTGAGACAATTGAGACATGGATTGTGTATGTGTGACATTTGGAGGGTGAATGGGCAAGACAAAATATTTAAGTGCCTTTGAACTGGGTATGGTAGTAGGTGCCAAGAACTGCAACGCTGCTGGGTTTTTCACGCCCAACAGTTTCCAGTGTGTATCAAGAATGGTCCACCACCCAAAGGACATCCAGCCAACTGGACACAACTGTGGGAAGCATTGGAGTCAACATGGGCCAGCATCCCTGTGGAACGCTTTCGACACCTTGTAGAGTCCATGCCCTGACGTATTGAGGCTGTTCTGAGGGCAAAAGGGTGTGCAACTCAATATTAGGACGGTGTTCCTAATGTTTTGTACACTCAGTGTATATACACACATTATACCCAAAGAGTCAGTTCCCTAAGCAAGCTAACAGTGACTGTGCTCTCAGATGGAGATGCTCTCAGATTCTATAGAATGTCTTGTCAAGTTGTCTATGCCTTTCTTTTCCTCTCCTTCCTCTCCCAGGTTGGTGGAGGAGTTCATGTTGCTCGCCAACATGGCCACGGCCCACCAGATCTACCGCTCCTTCCCCCAGAAGGCCCTGCTGCGACGCCATCCCCCGCCCCAGACCAAGATGGTGGACGACCTGCAGGAGTTCTGCGACCAGATGGGAATTAATATCGACTTCTCCTCGGCCGGGACGCTCCATGTGGGTACAGTGGCTTGCGGAAGTATTCACCCCCCCTTGGCATTTTCCTATTTTGTTATCTTACAACCTGGAATTAAAATTGATTTTTTTGGTGGTTGGTATCATTTGATTTACACAACATACCTACCACTTTGAAAAAGCAAAATATGTTCTATTGTGAAACAAACAAGAAATAAGACAAAAACAGAACACTTGAGCGTGCATAACTAGTCAATACTTTGTACAGCCACCTTTTGCAGCAATTACAGCTGCAAGTCGGATGGGTTCCGCTGGTGTACAGCAATCTTTAAGTCATACCACAGATTCTCAATCGGATTGAGGCCTGGGCTTTGACTAGGCCATTCCAAGACATTTAAATGTTTCCCCTAAAACCACTCAAGTGTTGCTTTAGCAGTATGCTTAGGGCCATTGTCCTGCTGGAAGGTGAATTTCTGTCCCAGTCTCAAATCTCTGGAAGACTGAAACCGGTTTCCTTCAAGAATTTCCCTGTATTTCGCGCCATCCATCATTCCTTCAATTCTGACCAGTTTCCCAGTCCCTGCCGATGAAAAACATACCCACAGCATGATGCTGCCACCACCATGCTTCACTTTGTTGAAGCACCTTTGGCAGTGATTACAGCCTCAAGTCTTCTTGGGTATGGCACTACAAGCTTGGCACATCTGTATTTGGGGAGTTTCTCCCATTCTTCTCTGCAGATCATCTCAAGCTCTGTCAGGTTGGATGGGGAGCGTCGCTGCACAGCTTTTTTCAGGTCTCTCAGAGATATTTGATCGGGTTCAAGTCCGGGCTCTGGTTGGGCCACTCAAGGACATTCAGAGGCTTGTCCCGAAGTCACTCCTGCGCTGTCTTGGCTGTGTGCTTAGGGTCGTTGACCTGTTAGAATGTGAACCTTCGCCCCAGTCTGAGGTCCTGAGTGCTCTGGAGCATGTTTTCATCAAGTATCTCTCTGTACTTTGCTCCGTTCATCTTTCCCTCGATCCTGACTAGTCTCCCAGTCCCTGCCGCTGGAAAAACATCCCCACAGCATGATGCTGCCACCACAATGCTTCACCGTATGGATGGTGCCAGGTTGCCTCCAGACGTGATGCTTGGCATTCAGGCCAAAGAGTTCAATCTTGGTTTCATCAGACCAGAGAATCTTGTTTTTCATGGTCTGAGAGTCCTTTTAGGTGCCTTTTGGCAAACTCCAAGCAAGCTGTCATGTGCCTTTTACTGAGGAGTGGCTTCCGTCTGGCCACTCTACCATAAAGGCCTGATTGTTGGAGTGCTGCAGAGATGGTTGTACTTCTGGAAGTTTCTCCCATCTCAACAGAGGAACTCTGGAGCTCTGTCAGTGACCATCGGGTTCTTGGTCACCTCCCTGACCAAGGCCCTTCTCCCCCGATTGCTCAGTTTGGCCGGGCGGCCAGTTCTAGGAAGAGTCTTGGTGGTTCCAAACTTCTTCCATTTAAGAATGATGGAGGCCGCTGTGTTCTTGGGGACCTTCAATGCTGCAGAAATGTTTTAGTACCCTTCTCCAGATCTGTGTCTCTACACAATCCTGTCTCTGAGCCCTACAGACAATTCCTTCGACCTCATGGCTTGGTTTTTGCTCTGACATGCACTGTGAACGGTGGGACCTTAAATAGGCAGGTGTGTGCCTTTCCAAATAATGTCCAATCAATTGAATTTACCACAGGTGGACTCCAATCAAGTTGTAGAAACCTCTCAAGGATGATCAGTGGAAACAGAATGCATCTGAGCTCAATTTCGAGTCTCATAGCAAAGGGTCTGAATGCATATTTCTAAGGTTTTTCTGTTTTTTATTTTTATATGTGCATAAATGTCTACACCTGTTTTTGCTTTGTCATTATGGGGTATGTTATGTAGATTTGAAAAGGAAATGTTTTTATTTAATACATTTTAGAATAAGACTAACGTAACAGTGTAAAAAGTCAAGGGGTCTGAATACTTTCCGAATGCACTGTATATTAATACACATTTACACAACACAATGTACACACTCATTCTCTGAAGCACATAAAATCAACCTGAATGTATTCTACCCCTCCCCCCAATAGAGAAGTCTGAATGAGACTCTTGGTGATGACGAGTACACCAGCGCCAGGAAAGAGGTCCTCACCCACATGTGCTCCAGACCCATGCAGGTTAGTGTGTACCACTACCATCGTCTCTCTATACTACTGCTTTAGCTGTCCACTCGCTTGTATCTCTTTCCTGTTTCCCTCCATTGGCTCCCTGTATTGGTTGTATCAGTCTACCACTGTAGTCTATTGGGGCTCTAACTCTATGTATGTCTGGTTTGTCCCCCTATGTTTTCCTCTTGGGCTGCCCCCAGCTAGCCAAATAACATATCCAAAATTTATTTTTCAAATTTTAAAAGCTGTATTTGTATTATACTTGTTAATGTCAATGGGGTCTTCTTGTAGGCTGCCTTCTACTCTCTCTCTAACCTATTTTGCTTTTGAGCCAAATTCAGAAATGTCACTCTCAGTGACCAATGATATATGAATGCTTCCCTCCCCAGATGGCTATGTACTTCTGTACGGGGGTGTTGAAGGAGGAACCCCTGTTCCGCCACTACGCCCTCAACGTACCCTTTTACACCCATTTCACCTCGCCCATACGGCGCTACGCTGATGTCATCGTCCACAGGCTGCTGGCCGCCTCTCTGGGTGGGTGGCGACACTGGTCTGTGTGTGTGTGTGTGTGTGTGTGTTTACCCCATAGAGGACAATGTCTTTGTTGTGTTACGAGGGGTGGACCGAGGGCAGGCAGTGTCTCAGCTGTGTTGTAGCACCCAGAGAAGATTGGCTCTGTGGTGGAATAGCAATGTGGTAAAAGACAAAAGCGTCCCTTAGATTCCAAAACACCCTGAATCTGAGCTGATGTTTTTTTGTCCCGGTGTCTGTCTGAGATTCACTGCCTTTTGGTGGTGTTGTGCTGCCCTCTCTGTAAGAGAACAGTAGATCAAGTGTACTCCAGTGTGTGTGTGTTGTGTGCCTGTCTTTACAATAGTTCTCCGCCTCTTTGTGACATTTCTGGTGTGTATAGGCTGTGGTCCTCACCTGGAGCTGAAAGGGGAGGAGGTGCAGAAGCAGGCGTCCCACTGCAACGACAGGAAGACTGCCTCCAAGAGAGTCCAGGAGCTCAGCTCAGAGCTGTTCTTCAGTGTGTTCGTCAAGGTACACCCAACATACTGTGTAATGTTCCCACTAGAGCAGGGGTGTTGTCTGACCCTACCAGGTCTGGAGCCTGCTGCTTTTCTCTTCTACCTGATAATTAATTGCATCCACCTGGTGTCTCATGTCTAAATCAGTCCCTGATTAGAGGGGAAGAATGAAAAATCCAGTGGAACTGGCTTTGAGGTCCAGAGTTGAGTTTGAGGGCCCTAGAATATACCAGATGTGGTTTGAAATAGTATTTGTTTAATTTCAAATACTATGAGCATTTAATTGAGCCTGCTTAGTCTTAGATGGGTGGTGTACTTTTGGGACTGGTCTATTGGTTATATTGCACCAGGCAACCTTAATCAAGTGCATGTAAACAATTTGAAAGAAAACAAATACTATTTGGACCCAGGGCTGTTACACACTCAGATCTCCAGTTAGGATTCAGCCCCTGGTGTTGCATTCAGCGCAGCCCCAGCGGTGGCACTGTGCAGAATCTTATTTGCCCCCCCCCCCCCCCGCAGGAGAGTGGTCCCCTGGACTCTGAGGCCATGGTGATGGGAATTCTGGACCAGGCCTTCGACGTCCTTGTGCTGCGCTACGGGGTGCAGAAACGCATCTACTGCAAAGTGAGTACCACTCAAACCATTGCAGTATTCATTTTGCGTGACAATACCAGATTATCTGATTGAGATTTGTTATCTTATGTCCTGCTTGGGTCCATATAGTGCCGAACACGACAGGTGCTCTTTGGCAGTGGTTCTCAAACCTCTCCTCGGGGACCCCCAGCCGTTCCATGTATTTGAATTATTCCAGAGCTAGCACACCTGATTCAACTCGTCAACTAATCATCAAACCCTTGATAAGTGAGTCAGGTGAGCTAGTTCAGGGCTACAACAAAATTATGAAATGTCTGCGAGTCCCCTAGGAGAGGTTTGAGAACCACTGCATTAGGGTACACCGTAGTGCAACATTTCCAAAAGTTTTTAATTTTTATTGGACAAGTTCAGAAATAACCTCCATTTCAGGCCTTTTCTGATAGTTGTCTTCAATTTTGTGCTGTGTGAACACGACCCAGGTTACCATCCATAATCAATCAATCAATCAAATTGTATTTATAAAGCCCTTTTTACTTCAGCAGATGTCACTAAGTGCTATACAGAAACCCAGCCTAAAACCCCAAACAGCAAGCAATGCAGATGTAGAAGCAGGGTGGCTAGGAAATCTCCCTAGAAAGGCAGAAACCTAGAGATGAACCAGGCTCATAAGTGACTCATCTTTCCATTAGATACCACGTCAAGCTTTATGGTCCTATCTATAGTCTTTATCCTGTACTATGATATACATGAGAGAGAGAAGACGGACGAATGTTAGGTAAACATTGTTTTGTCAGCATTTCATAACTTTACACCCCAAGACCTTGACTGAAACGGCTTGATAGCATCTAATTATCAACTATTGCACTACAAAAAAACGAAGCTTTAGTCTAATTTTAATTACACTTATGGATACTAAGTTGAATGAAATCAGGTTCATATTCAATAGGCACCAAACGGTAGAAAATTGACTGAAACGGAGAGGGACTACCTGGCCTAATTTAAGTTTTCTGTTGCAAAATATTTACGTTTTCTGTTACGTTCCCTGATGAACACAACCCAGATATATATGATCAGAAAGAGTAAATGATTCTCCTGTTTTGGATGAACAGAATGAATGCAGAGGTGTGTAGTTGGATATGTGTTAAGTTGTGTTGTCATGTTCTTCAGGGTCTACAGGGCCTGGAGACGTTCCACTTCCACAAGGTGGGGAAAAAGGGGGAGTTGACTCTGGTGTGGGCCGCAGAGGAACCCGGGAAGCCTAGCGTACGGCAGGTAAGAACTAGGGATGGTGACAAATGACTTTTTTTAAATCGGTTTTCCGATTTTGAATTTCATAAAAATCCAAGTCAAATCCTATTGCGTGGTATGACCGATAAGGGGCGATGAAGTTCTACCGCAGTCATACAGTAGTCTTAGGCATCTGCAATCTGCTTTGTGGCTGACTGAAAGGGCAGGTGACATTTTGTCCCGAAGACAACAGTTAATTCATGTTAACTCTAGTGTTCCTTCCATTCGTTATGTGCATTAGTGACTCACAACAAAAAAGAAACCTAGCCAAGTGATCACAGGTCTTCTCCCTACATTATCTTTTCCCTCCATTACGTCTCACTAAATTTCGATCCGACCGCTCCCTCTATACACACGTGCTGCGCACCCAAGCTCCCATTAGGCCTACGGAAATTACTGCCTATAAAAAGGGATCTAAATTATGGGATACACAAGCAAAACTGTAGACGAGCTACATTCCAACTATTGTTTCCAGAGGCCCCAACAGGATTGATTTAGCATGTTTCCTAAGATAACCGTTCACTCTCCATACAAATCTAAGAGCTCAGCTGAAGTTTTGGTTGGATTGTTTTGAAGGCGCTAGACCGCTAGTACATGAGAATGTTATTATTTAGTGTCCTCTGTCACTAACAAAGGGTTGTCCTGTTCCGGTCTGTCCTTTAGGAGATCTCCATCTTTAGTCTGGTGGACGTGCAGCTGAGGGCAGACGGAGCGCCTATGAAATACAGCGCTGTCATCAAGAGGCCCAATGAGACGGCGTAATGAATACTCTCATGTGCCCCCAATAACACACACACACACACACACACCATATCACACATTCTCTGACACACACACACACACAAAGAAGCTTTGGCAGTATTTTGACATTGACTACACAAACACACACACGTTCTTGCACGTTTTTTATATGTATTAGCAACTTTTTCATTGATTTAACTTTATGGTTCAATTACCATTGAGGAGCCAAGGCTGGACTGTAGCACTGAAGCAGCGCTGTTGTAGTAGGGCCTGTAAAAGTGCCTAGACTGTGCAATTAACTTTTATTTTGCAGATTTTACCTTTTATGAGGTCATTTTTAGATAGATATTCAAATTATATACACAGTCAATGTGTGAAGATGATGGCTTGAACTATTTTGGGTTTAAAACAAGTTTAAATTAAGCTGTTCTATTAATGTCAAGTGTACAGTAACTGGTCATTTCAGTCGCAATGCAATTGTCATTGTTTATTTGTAGCTGTAACCTGGCAAGAGCTTGTATGCTGTTTCACATCAATTCATAGTATGACACTCGTCCCCACATTCAACTACTTTAAAGGCTTAACGAAGCGTTCATAAACCCTTTATAAGAACTATGTAGATGCTTCAGTTATTTAAAAGCGAATTCACACAATGAATAACATCTGACGTTTTGTCAAATGCTTTGGCACCCTTTTATATAGCAAGACATTTGCTTATACATTGTTTGTGAAGCATCTACAAGGTCTTATGAAGTTGTTTTAAAGTGTGACCTGAAATCCTTGTTGACAGAACTGTTGCTTAGTAAAAAAAAAGAAGATGGACCTACCCTATCTACCAATTTACTGCTGTTTTATGTTTTATTGCAGTGCAAGCTGGTATTTACAGTGCAGATTCTAAGCATGCTAATCCGTTGTATCTCAAAGTTGCCAAATGTGTGACTTGACTTGTATCGTGACAGTTTTGGCAGTGATTCGAAAATAATGTTGTATAATGCTGCCGTGAACTACCTTGTGAATGTGAGGCCTTGATTTTTAAAAAATGCATTTACGTTCTTCTCTCAACTGACCATTTTGTCTCCCGTAAAAGCCTTCTAATGGCATGCATGTCCAAAACAATACTGACACTTTTCTCTGTGTTGTATTTCATCTCAAGATCTCAGTATTGTACATGACAGTAATGATATGCTTTATAAATCCTGTATTGTTTTGGAGGGCAGCAATCTTAGTGGTCTCGCTCCATAAGCAGATGTGCCTTTTTCCGTAACATTGTTTTACTCAGCTTTTATTTCTCATCTAGCTTTTTTGGTTTACAATGTAAATACAGTGTACATTAAGCAAATGTGATGTATTAGGACCATAAATGTTCTGCAAATTTTAAGTTGCCAGTAGCAAGGAACTCCTTTAAACTCTTGATACCATGTTCATACTCACAAATCAAATGTGTTGATAGAGTAGTATATTTCTAACTAGTTGCTGTAACTCACTCCTCAATTTCTGTTTAGGAATTACAATCTGGGTTTAACAAAAGTAACCAATTTCCAGAGCTTTATATTTAGAGGGTGCAATTTTTTGTGTGATTTTAAAAGATTGTGATTGTATTTCATAATCGGGTCGCTAAGAGGAATTGAGGATTGGGTCTTTAACAGGAAAGGGAGATATAGGCGGTCAGTCCACACAATAACTTATTTCCTTTGCACTTGTTTTACACAATATATTCCATTCATTTTGCCCACAGAATCTATGCCTTACATTAAAATAATTCAGGCTTTAAAAGGGTAATGCCTTTTCTGTTTCAGATTTAAGGGAAATGTTATAGATTTAGGATTCAAGCACCTTTTCATTGATTTGATTTTTCTACTGCGCTCCTCGTTCTATTTGTGTGACGTCAGTAATGTAGGTGTACTTGCAATGCCTGCTCATGGTGATGCCAATGTATAGACTGAAGTGGTTGTCTCCACGATAGCAGTGTTATGTTCAATAGCAAGAAAATGTAATAAAACAGTGAAACATGTATATACCACAAGAACTTGTCCAATAAGAACATATTTTTGTTTTTACCTTTGCAAAACATTTTGCTTCATTGTGTTCTACTGAACATGACCCAGGTGTCGTCCTGTGGATTGGGGAATGGGAGAAAACTATGCTGTGTGTGTGTCGTTAACATGTTATACTATCCAACTGGACACAAAATATCAATGTATTAGCAGTGATCACTTAGGAATTAGTGTAAAATTGTGCTTGATGTGGCTGGCCCCTGGGAACCAAATAAACATTGGCTTCACTAAATTATTCAAGTGCTGTCCATTTTGTACCGTACTGAATAAACTTTGATTCAACACTTAATAAAGGGTGTACCTATGTGATGTTACCTAATCAGTTATTAGAGGGCTCTTGCGCAATCAAGATGGAGAAATGGCTGTGAGTGTGTCATTGATATTTGTCATTTGACTTCTACAACAATCCCCACACCCTCCTCATCATCATGACAAGGAAGGAGTGTTATTGATTACAGCAAAGGACTGACTGTGCTCAAGGGGTAGTGACTATTATTGAGGTTAAAAGTGACAATGACTGTGATTATGGTTCTCTTACCTGGGCTACCTTAGTTGAATGCACTAAATCGCTTTGGATAAGAATATCTGCTAAATGACCCAAATGTAATTATAGAAAACTGACGTTAAAACTTTGCTCAGTTGTGTTTTGAGGTTACCAGTATTCTGGCATGCCACAGATACCAATGCTAGTGGAAGTCTATGAACCCTTTGCACGGTCTTCACATTTTGCTGCCTTAAAATTCCAAATGTTTTCCTATTGATCTACACAACCTACTCCACGTTTTCAAAGTGAAAGTAAAATTATAGAAATTGTCCAAATTACTAAGAAATACAAAATGAGAATGTATTGATTGCGGATGTCTTCCAGGTGAAGGTTATGATCCCTTATTGATGTCACTTGTTAAATCCACTTCAATCGGAGTAGATGAAGGGGAGGAGACAGGTTAAATACGTTTTTTTTTTTTAAAGCCTTGAGACAATTGAGACATGGATTGTGTATGTGTGCCATTCAGAGTGTGAATGGGCAAGATAGAAAATGTAAGTGCCTTTGAACGGGGTATGGTAGTAGGTGCCAGGCGCACCGGTTTGTGTCAAGAACTGCAACACTGCTGGGTTTTTCACGCTCAACAGTTTCCTGTGTGTATCAAGAATGGTCCACCACCCAAAGGACATCCAGCCAACTTGACACAACAGTGGGAAGCATTTGAATAAGATTGTACCAACCTTGCACAACTCTTACAGCAACATATATCCATAGTTTTTTGTCAAAATTGCTCAACCTCAGTCAATTTGGTTGGGAATCATTGATAGACAGCAATATTCAAACTTTGTCTCAGATCTTTTAAGCAAGTGTAAAGGAAAAGTCAGCTCAAAAACCTATCTTTTGGTATTTGTTTCAATAGTCTAATCTGTGACTTTCAAAATACAGAAATCATCCCTGTATGATACATTTTGCATCAGATGATGCAAAACGCAGCATCATATGATTACACAAATGTTTATGCCAAAGACACACCAGAATGACATTCCAAGAGGTGTTGAGTGTTCCTGTGTGGTCTAGTCTTAGTCCTGAGTCCTGACTTAAATTTGCTTGAAAATCAGAGACAAGGTTTGAATATTGCTGTCTATCAATGATTCCCAACCAAATTGACTGAGGTTGAGCAATTTTGACAAAAAACTATGGATATATGTTGCTCTAAGAGTTGTGCAAGGTTGGTACAATCTTATTCAGATGCTTCCCACAGTTATCAAGTTGGCTGGATGTCCTTTGGGTGGTGGACCATTCTTGATACACACAGGAAACTGTTGAGCGTGAAAAACCCAGCAGTGCTGCAGTTCTTGACACAATTTTGTCAAAACCAATGGACATACAGTATGTTGCCCCAAACATTGTGCAAAGTTGGTAGAATATTATTCAAAATTATTCACAGCTGTAATCGCTGCGGAAGGTGCTTCCATCAATTATTAACTCTGGGATGTGAAGACCTACACAATGAAGATATTATTAATTTGGAAAATGTTATATACATTCCATTAACTTCGAAAATGTGGAATAGGTTGTGTAGATCGGTAGGAAAAAAATACAATTGAATCCCTTTTTAGATGTAATATTTAGGCAGCAAAATGTGAAGACTGTGAAAGGGGTGTGTAGACTATCACTAAACATTAGTGTGACATAACCGTAGTATTCTCTAGAAAGGATTTATTACCCTATGGATACACACCTCAGTTAAACGATACTGAACTGTATAAACAATTTATCAAGATGGCAGACTGCCGAGTTTGTTTTATCAGGGGTTTCGTTGACAACAGGGCTTTTTAGGAGATAGAAATGTATTGTACAGAACCGACATGACTCAGAGATCTTTATATTTGACTCTGACATGATTGTGTCAGGTATATATATATATATATATATATATATATATATATATATATATATATACATTCTATTTTAAATCTGGAACATTGTCAAGGTTTCACCCTCATGAATTATGAGCTAACAGGGTACCATGACATCATGGAGAAGGAGACTATCAATTGTAAATTAATAAATGAAAGATTGTATGTAGAAACTCCCATGTATACACCCAGGCCTATCTGTATCTTTACTCTACCCCATTGCTCACACGCACACATTTACTGACCATATCCACTGTGAGCCCCTCCTAGAGAAGCCTCCCTGGAGATAAGCGCAATATGAGCGTGATAACATTATTTGGATTGTAGCCAGTGACTACAGTGGGGGAAAAAAGTATTTAGTCAGCCACCAATTGTGCAATTTTTGGGGGGGGGGGGGGGGGGGGAGAAGGATTACTTTATCCTATCCCAGTTTTCCTTAAAGAGGTGGGGTTTCAAATGTCTCCGGAAGGTGGTGAGTGACTCCGCTGTCCTGGCGTCGTGAGGGAGCTTGTTCCACCATTGGGGTGCCAGAGCAGCGAACAGTTTTGACTGGGCTGAGCGGGAACTATGCTTCTGCAGAGGAAGGGGAGCCAGCAGGCCAGAGGTGG